GTCACAAATATAATCAAGTTCATTGAATGCTGTAAAAACTACTGTACTGCAAGAACACATCCACCATGCCAGTCCAGGTGAGGTAAACAGTAAACATCCCAATAATTAGGTGACTTACCCTAACTTTACTGGATGCAAAATGTATGTGGTGGCTGTAGAAGGTAGTGCAGTGGTTTTACACCTTGTCCAAACTACTGTGCTGTGGTACATTAGATGTGCAATGGAAATGTGTCCAGTTTCACTTCATAGGTCCAAAAACTAGTAATTATTTTCTGCAAATACTTAGAGCTATTCTTCAAGCATGACAGCTATAAAAACTATAAAAAAGAAAAAAAGAAAAAAAGATGGAGACTCAGGGCTGTTGAAGAAAATCTTTATGTGTCTTTCTGCATTCCTGTGAGAATATCAGTGTTGTCTATACAAGTAACTGAATAGGCCCAGGTCTCACAGATAATAAACTATGAGTAAATTGAAACTCAAAGATCATTACATTTCAATACAGATTCAAGGAACAATGAAGTGTAAGGTTGGCGTTTCACTCCAGTCTCGGTCAGTTCTATGCCAGCCCTAGAAAAGGGCAAATGCCTGTAGTATAAAGTGCTTTGGGTAGTCAGTTGTCAATGATAGAGGAGTGTGTAAACATGGCAATATATGTACAGACCATTTACAAAAAGACAAGAAAAATATTTGAGCGTGTACTCATTTATTTTAGGCTACACCCTGGCAGTTCAGCAGTGCATCATGGGGCCACATATGGAGACAACTGTTCAAATTCACATTCATACAAATCATCCATTTAGAGTCAGAAAAAAAACATAATCCTGTTTAAGTTAATTACCACACACCTACAGATTTGAGTATTTGAAAATATTTGAAATCTACCAGAGTTCCCAGAAGTGTATGACAGAGCTGTCTGTTTTCCTAACAGCCCCCTGAGATTTACTGTTGCTAATCGTGTGTGTTTCTTTTTGTGTCCAGGTCAAATGGCGCCAATTCAGTCAACCCGGTGCTGTGTCATTAGGTTAACTGTGTTTCTCTGTGTTTCTCCCACTGGTATCTATCACACCTGTCAATCAGGGGCGCATCAATCAGCACTGGTGTCAAGTGGCACGAAGCAGGGAAAGTGCTCAGCGCGTTCTGACCATCCATCACACTAACTGTATGAAATCACTCAGCATCAGATGCAGAGCAGGATTTTTCATTACCACGTGAACTGATTGGTTGTAAAATCCAGGCAGAGATTGATCATCTCATGTTGTCTCCTACATGGCTGGACAGACCCTCTGTCTTCTTCTCTCTCTCTCTCTCTCTCTCTCTGTCTCTCTCTCTCTCTCTCTCTGTCCCTGTCCAGGTAAAGTGGAGAATTGGCTTCAGGTGATTTGGAGAAGATCTTATCTTTTGTTAACAGAGGAATGACACCATAATGGAGCAGCAGGGGTGCAATTACCTTTTAGCCCCCCTCCTCCTCCTCACCCCCTTCACCTCCATCTCTCCTTCCTTCCACCTTCACCTCAGCCTTCACTGACAAATTAAGATTAATGACAGAGATGAATAAAGAACCTGTCCACCTTTTAGCATCACGCAGCACTAGTGTGTGAGAGAGCACAGTTACTTTGGGAGCTGTGCATGTTTATAGGTCCAGATCAAAGCATATTACTGATTTGGTAAATCATATTTTATTATATTGGTGTCCTTTTACTTTACTCTATAAATTATCTCTCTTGCATTTACATTTACTTAAAATATCCAACCATTATATTATTATTATTATTATTATTGTTGTTATTATTATTATTATTATAGATTGATGTCAGTCAAAATATACATAAAAACTTTAGAAATTACTCCAAATGTTTTCTTTAAAAAAAATAGAACTAAAAGTCTAGAAAAAGCCATAATTAAACAAGAACCGAGCAAAAAGCTAAAAACTACCCATTACGATTATTAAACATTGACCTAGATGTTGCCTCAAGTTAGTAAAAGAAAGTGGCGACTATTTATAAAATTCAAACAAACTATAATTTCAAATGCCCACTAAACATATAAAAATGAGGAACCTCTGTTTCATTTTTTTTATCCCATTAATTTAAACCTGAAAGCCCTTGAATATATATGCTCTATCCTTCTGAAGAAATACCACCTCCCAAAGGTGGAAGAAGCCCAGACCCTGTCCCTCCATAGCTGAGAATTCGTGACCCCCCCGGCCCCCAGCCCTGCAGCTGGAGGTGTCTGTTTCACAGACCTCTGTAATGCGGGAGCAGGGAGGATAGGGTTTCACAGGTACAAAAAGTTTCCGCTTTAATCCTATCACACAGAGTGAGTGGTCAGAGCTCAGGGCTTCTGCATAATCCTGGGTTTATTCATTCTGGTGAGCCAAGAGACAGGGAGTACGCAGGGAGGAAGAGCTTACTTACTGCCCATCGCTGATTATATTCAATCAATGTTTGCACAGCAAACGGGAAGTGGGACCTCTCAATAGCTGTTCAAGCTATTCCACACCTCAGTGCACACGCCAGAAGATCAGTAAAAGATACAATTAAATGTCTCCTCTGGCAGCTGTTTAACAGGTTTACTCGCAGCATCAGGGGATCTTTAATCTATTCTAAATTCCTCGGATCATTCTCTAAAAGGAACCTTCATTTGTTATCACCACCGCTACTAAAGATACTAAAGTGCACTTGTGTGATTGTTAATCCTCTTCTTGTCTGCTAAATGCATTAATGTAAGATGTTAAGTGGGAATAAATTTAGAAATCAGATAGGGTGTAGATATTTCTGTATATACAGTATAGACCAGGCGTCTCCAACCTTTTTGAAACTGAGAGCTACTTCCAGGGAACTTAGTCATACGGAGAGCTACTTGTTTGATACAGACTTCCCCAACAATGTAATAATAATCAGTTCTTTGAATACCGTAGCAGGTGGAACTGATTTAAAAAGCACAGAAACAGTACAATTTTTGACCCACTTTGACTTTGACTAATTTTATTTTTAGAACATAGCCCGCGGGCACCTTAGGTAGTCCATGGGGGCTACCAGGTGCCCCCAGGCACCACGTTGTGACCCCTGGTATAGACATACGTGTGTCTGTCTATATATACGTACATGTATGTTTATAAATAATATTTCAAATTATGTAATTTACACAATGAATTAACATGGTCTCTGATGGTTACAGCTGACCTGTTGTGAGGAGCTTATTCATTTCACAGCAGGCTTTTTCAGTGACACGTTTGAAGCGACCTCCTCTGGAGAGAACCACCTGCTTTGGCCTCACAGTGTAGACCTGTGCCAGCTTTAGGACTGTTTCTTTTTGTTTTATTTTTAGTAGAAGTTTGATGAAGCACTTGTAAGTTTCTTATTTTGTTGGGAACAACACTGAAAAAAAGAACCACTTCTCACAGACTTTGCACAGCACCTTCACACCTGGAAAGGCATGTGGGACTTTTCCCTCCACTAACAGCCTTTCTGACAGGCCTGAAATGCTTTTGATTCATTGTAGACAGCATGCATTCTCAGAAATTTAATACATATTCATGCTGTCCACCACAAAGCTGATTGCTGCATCCTTCCACAACTCCCTTGAAGTGTAGGACTTGAAGGTAGAGTGGTTCTTTTGAAGGCAACTAGAAGGCGTTTCGGGGCTGAAAGGTGCTGGAAAGGGCATGTCCAAACAGAATTTGTGCCCTGACTGATGGGACACGGGAAACAGTAACAGGACACCTTGTCTCTGCTCTCATGTCAACACAGCCCTGTGAATCACAACTGCAAGAGTGTTAGAAGACCAGGGACAAAGCATGCTGACTGTCTAGGACAAAGGGGAGGTGGGAGGGGTGAGATTCAACAATTGCCTGGTAGGGCGGCTTCAGTAGTAGTTGGATGTAGAATGCTGGACAAAATAATAGGAATAAAATATTCATAATGCATGAAACAGAAGGACTGACATCAGTCTTTATCACACCTTGTAGCAGTGTTTGGCAGGCTGGATTAGAAAGTGCAGCAGGCAGTATGTGGTGCATGGACCGTTTGCTCAGGTCTGGTCTAGACCAGTGGTTCTCCAACGTTTTCTCCTCTGTACCACCTGAGAAAACATGGAGCTCTCTGAGTACCACCATGATGACCAACATTAGCATATAGCAGCGTAGGCCTTCCCCGTTAGCTTCCACCACAGGAGAGATGTTTAGAAATGCTTAGAAAGATGTTTATGTTTAAATGTTGTATTAATTGTGCATGGTATGTTTCAGATTTATTCAGTTGAAAATGTGGATGTGAAAATGTGAATTTTCCCCGAGTACCACTAGAGAGCGCTCACATACTACTGGTGGTACACGTACAACAGTTTGAGAACCACTGGTCTAGAGGATGAAAAGCCTTGTTTCAGTCACTGTATATATCTGCACTGCATATTTATTGAAATATTTCACACAAACAATGTTCAAACAGATCTGTGATAACTCTATATCTGTTATCAGGGATTACCCAGAAGTCTCTTGGTTCTTCTCCACTGATATCTAAAGGTTTGTATCAATCTAAATGCTGTTAAATGTCCATTACAAATAAAAAGTGTGTGCAAATAACTGTAATTAAAATGAACTCAATGTATTCAAAGTTGTGAAGAGATCAATGTTAAGCTGCAGAAACAATCACAGAAGTAGCTTTTTTAAAAAAACAACCCACATTATTAAAAATAAAATTAGAAACAAAAAGAGACAGTAAAAAAAAGTTTTTCTACCATCCACATATTTTACATAAAAACATTCTAATATTTCAGTTTATTAAAACGACATTAAACAATAGTATTTGTAATAAACTCTTGACCGTGGTTTTACATTTACATCATCTTTGAGATAGAGGGCTGCATATTTTCTTCTGCCTCTTCACCTCTCTAACTCAATTTAATTATTTAAAACAATATTCAACACAATCTTAGCAGTTTAGAATATGTTGTGCATAAACGCGAATAAATCTGAAACGCAAAATAAGACACAGATACATATACAATGCGTTCAGAAGTTGTACAACTTTATTTTCGAGCCGCTGTATAACGTTGGTGTGTGGCTATCGATAAAATAAAATATCACTTTAATTAAAAAAAAAATCAAATAGTATACCAAAACCTGGAGTGTTCATGAAGAACAAAATACAGCATACAATAATAACTGTATATAAAATGGCATGACATGACATAAACATGACATCACACTTACAATGGTGTTTTTTATAAACAAAAATAAAGCAGGTTTTAATTTGTTATATGTAATGTTATATGTTATTTCTAAATTCAAAATCCATCGAATTTACAAAGACTGGACAGTAAGTTACTCCAAACTGTGTTGTTCTTTCATCAGAAAGAACAACACAGTGATAAAACAGTGGGGATTGCTCTAGAACAGCAAGGGAAGCTCAACTTAAATATATATATATATATATATATATATATATTATTTACGGTAAAAGCTGGCACAACATTATTGCACTGGTGTAGTTTTTAGGCAGCCTGAGTTATTTTAACATTTTAAACCTGTGGGTATACTAAACTAAATACGATAGGCTAAATATTACCTGCCATGTCCCAGCTGTGGTTTTTATGAATACTGAAGCGGGCAAAGTGGACAGATTATCAGACCTACAGTACCCTGACATGTACAATTATTTAATAAACTCCCCCTTGCCCTACACCAGAGAATTCCTAGGATCTTACAAGAGCATTGGAGGTATACAAATGGACACAATTTTGGCTACGTCAGCTGTGTCCAAGTCTGGAGTCTAAACGAAAGACAGTGTTGTTGTACGAAGCGATGTATCAGTACACGTCACTGTGCTGTACTTATTCATGAGATTACATAACGCTCTGTTTTTCAGACATGTTAATATTTTTCAGATATGTTGATTTTTTTTTTAAATAAATGACAATGAGGAACTTCAGGAATTTAGAAATTGAATTTTCTGGGAGTAGTCTGCAGGTTTTGGAAGTTGTGCTGGCGAGAAGAACAGAGAAGATTTACACAAAATAACTGAGCTTCCCTTGTTTCACACAGCAGCAGCCTCCAGTCATTAATACATCATTATCTCCTTCGGTGCGTCTTCAGTCGGTCTCTGCTGCTCTCTTTTATGTTTATAGGTGGTATTGTTATACATGTATATCACTCCAATGGCAGCCATACTTAGTAGGGCATATAAGATGACCAGGTAGTATCCTAGCCCCATCCATGAAGTTATGTTCCTTAGGTGAGCAGGAGAACTGCCATTAAGATTCTCCACCAAACCCTCTGCCATGTTGGTGGCCATAACGTTCACCACATATATGATCAGCACTAGCACAGACAGGATTGCTGTCAGAGGAAATAATTAATTAATAGGGCTGTCAAAGAAGAAGCTGTTTTTAAACAAATGTTTTGTTCTTTTGTCACTTACTGCTTAGTGAACCGCAGACGTAGACTCCAATAGGACCCATGTAGGTCTCGTAGGGGTTGCTGACACTGTTGTAAAGACTGATGAGAATGTTGACTGCTGAAAACAGCAAACACAAGGCCAAAAAGAGCAAGACGAGAACGTGCAGAACAACCTGGGTAGTTCCTACATCTGTGAGCTGAGGAATAACTGATAAAAAGGACAGTACAGTCAAAGGCATTATAGTCCAATTATAAACTAACCAAATACATTGTCTCCGCTCTTTAGAAACCACCAAAACTCACCTTCAAATTCATCATGACCTAAAAAGTTCCCACAAGAAACCCTGTCAATTATTCCATCGAAAAGATTCAAAGTAAGGACAGCTGTTCCGTTGAATAGTTCCTCTCCTTGTCGTGCGCACTCCATGGTTGTCTCAGCCCAGTTTTGTGACATGCTGATCCCTAGTACAATAACAGATATGGCAGAGGCCAAAGCACTGGACAAGAAATATAGAGTCTTTGCAGTTGAAGGCATTGTGGTTATATTCCTGTATTCCTGTGTAGATTAAGGCACAAAAGCAGAATCCCACTAGGAACCTGTGCGTGTGTGCGAGCTTGTGTTGCCTTTCCGGTACACTGAAATTTGGACGGAGGTAATAAAATCTCTTGGTTATGACTGTGACCTTTGATACCATTGAAAGGGGTAGGCCTGGTTGTCATAGTAGAGGCAGCAAATAGTTTCCCAAACAGGGAGAAATAACCATCTCAACCAACATCATTTGTCAAGCTGTTTTTAGATTATTGTACTGAAGTTTTCTTTTAAAAGTTAGCAACAAATAATTAGCAGGCCAACATCACTTGAGCAACAAAACCATACAAGACACAGCACTATCACAGTAATTATGTGTGTACGTCATCTTTTCATTTCACACTTTAAAGCCATCGACCCAAAGTCTGTTTCTTGGTGTTGCAGTGTCATCAGACACATAGCAGTTAATGAGTTACTAAAAAGTTATAATTAGACTGATCATGGTCTGACTATATGTATGTGTTGCTGACGTGGTTGGGTTGTGGCAGTTGTTTAGACGAGAGGACTTTGAAAAGGGGAAGTCAGGAGGAGAGCTGTTCCTTCCTCTTTAATTCATTTGAAGATTCATGAAGATGAATCAGATTAAAAATGTTAACCCATAGGCAGAATGATGTGCATTGTTTATTAACAGCAAAAGTTTGAGGAATATTTTTGTAAATGTAATTTTTTTGACATTTTTCATATTAACAGTTCCATTCATTTAAAGTATGTTGTATTGTATGTTAGTTGTATAAAGTATGTTATTTGTTATATTGTTCCAGCAATAGATAGAGAATTTTTTTTGTCAAATTAAGGAATGTCTATATTTTTTATTAATCATGATTTACTGTGACTGAAGTGAATTATGGTTGATTTACATCTGATCAAACTGATTTAAATGTTTAATTGTTTGACAGTCGTAATAAAAAAACATAAAATAAAAACCAGAACACATCATTGATAATCTTAAAATTCAAATAAAATATTACCTGCCCAAGAGGCCAGTGTTTGGGTCTCGATTCAACACTTGCTAAAGAAATAAATAAGCAGTGTAGCAATAACAAATATATCCACAAGATGTCTCCTTCTCCCCTCAAACAGTGAGCAGACGTGGTTCTTCACCGCTTCCTGTCTCTCCAGCAGCCTGTGTTGTGTTGGAGTAAACACTGACTCCTCCTCTCCTCTGACAGGCGGCAGAGCTGAAGCATCGCCTCGCCTTTTCCAACAAAATCTCTGTTCTGGACTCCAAGTCTGCACCGATCAGGTGAGTGAGCGAAACGTTCTATTTTCCCCGCACCTTAGTTGCTGGCAAATAGTCACATGTCGAGTGGTAGCATGTTGAATTTGTAGTATTTACGCGTGATACCTGTTCAATGTTTCCTGAGTGACACGATCGTTTCAGGTGCGCACCGGTTATCATTTGCCGTTGGTTTATGAATTGATTTATGAATCAATGTAGCGATATTTTCCACGATTGTAACACAAACATCATTGCTGTGGATAAAATCAACATAGGGAACGGCAATATTAACGGAGGAAGCGTTTGTGTTTTTTATCTCCACTTCCCCAGCCAGTCGTTATTTTCCTTTTATTCCACACCACTTCTTATCCAGTTGTAATAATGTTTTTATATTCCATAGCTGAGTGCGGGTTTCTGTCAGCTGAGCCGGTTTCAACATGTCGGTGGACAGAGGGGATCCTCTGTTCTTCACATGACATGGATGGATCTGATGCGACTGCTGTTCGCAGGAATTCTCTCTATGTTCCTGTTAGTTTACTCTCGAGGTTTGACTCTTCGCTGTCATTTGTTGCAAAATTCTATATGGACATGTCCCCAAATCCCCACAGGAAAGGTCTGACTCCCAGGGGAGGCCAAAGGTCAGGGTCAGTGACAGATCAGCGTCATCGCTGCAACAGATTAAGTGTAGCAAGATGCTGATGAGGAAGCGTCATTTCTAAGCATTTTAACACTAGTTTTTTTTTTGGGTTTTTTTCTCCAACATAAAACATGCAAATAAAGGTACAGCTGACCAGGCTGACACGATTAATTATATAAGTACGTTTTCAAAGCAGTTCTCTAAGCCTTCTACCAGCTACTGTGAAGATGCACAGTGATGCCGAGACTGAACTGACTAAATTCCACCAGTTCCATTTTTTTTTTACCTTGTTAATAGTTCCATGACTAATTCTGGAGGTTAAATCCTCTGTCACTATTCATTACTGGCACAGTAATTGCTCTGAATATATATCATGCAGACAACCTGTGTCCGAGTGTTGACGCTGGACACAGACACTGCCTCTGGAATAAACAAATGACAGAAAAATGTGCAAAGTTTCACTGGTAATTGGAGCTTGTTGCCAGCTGATCCTGAGAACTGCTGACCAAAGAGTCGTCATTCTAACTAACTGAAAACAGAGCTGGCCCACAAGCCCTCTATTGTCAATATGTAATCATGATTACTTAATGTGTGTTAGGTTGGTGTGACTGCACCATGCTTAGCAACACCAGATTTGTCTGCACCCTCAACATGAGCAAGGGTCAGTCATTTCTCTGTCTACATATTTTGTCAAAACAGACCTGGAAGTTAGATTCCTCCCTAGACTTTATGCCTCTACCTGTTCTGTTCTTTAGATCAACTGTCTGCATCTGTTATTGACGTTTCAGTTCACCTCCACTGCGCTGTACATGTACCCCAGGAAAGAATGGCAATGGCTTTGTCTGGAGATAATGGAGATGCAATAATAAATATCATTGCTGACCAGGACGAATCCTAGGGAAGAATAGCATCTGTCTGATAAGTGCTGCTGGCAGATGAATTTGGCTTTAAATTCTCAATCACTCCTGTCACAGTGATATCTGTGAGGCCTAATTGTTGTTGTTGAGAAATAGGAATGGAAAGTTGTAGGTTAAAATTATGCAAATATATATTAGTTACAATGGATTTTAAATGATGGGGAATGTCTTTTCTAGGCAAGTTATTTCCTATTTTTGCTGCTATGTTTTTTACAATGGAAAAAATACTTATAAGACAAACATAGTTCATTGAAGACAGACAGAAAAAAAATGAAAAGCATTAGTCAAGCTCCTAGATTGAACTCATGCCCATGGTGGGCTTAATGGATGTAGTGTGGTCTTCGGGCCTGAAAAGAGTAATCAGAAAAGAATGCCATTAGTAAAAACAGTTATCACATAGATAGAAAGTTGTGTTTTAATTCAACTTATTTTAAATTCAAAATGAACTATTAGCAGGAAGTGACAAAGGTGAAGAGTAAAAACATTTTTTTCTCCTTTATCGTGAGATGAGATGCTCACAGGTTGAAAATGAGTAAAAGTAAGCATTCAAGTATTTTTATTTGTATAGCTGATGGATTGTGGTGAATAACCATCAGTCAGGAAGTGAAGGTTACTCAGCCATCTTTCCCCGTAGTGTTGGTGTTTCCAAACTAAACTGCAGTGGATTGTAAATTTTAGCAGAAGTTGATGTAGTGGTATTTTGTACGTTCTTCTTCTGGGACTTTCAGAGTTTTGTAATCTGTGTGGCAGATGGCTCATAATGTATGTGTTTTTTCACACAGAGACTGGGGAAGTGGTTGAAGTTGAAGAGGTTCCTTCTGCATTATTACAAGATGAGACACTGATGTAGACCTAGTCAGTTATTGGTCAATGTATGAACCTTGGTAATTTAACTTTGAACGTTGTTATCTTCAGTGTTGATATGCACAGGACTTGAATGCAGTAGACTATTCTTTTCTTGTCTCACCTCACTTGTAGAATGTGACTCAACCTTTAGCAACGTGTTACAACCAAAGGCCTGTTTGTGCTTGTGGCCAATACCAGAGCGTGAATGCTTGCCACTCTGTCTTTTGATCCGGCATCCCATGCCATTTAGTTACAATGAACCCCTAATGACTGTGTCAATGCAAATCTACAAAATATAATTGTCACCTAACTCGGACAGTGGTTAGCAGTCAGTGTTGTGACCACGGAGGCAGGATGTTGGACATGTCTGTGGTTTTTATGAGTGTTGAAAACAGTGCCAAGACTGGGAGAGTGACTGCCATACCATGTTTATTAGAACAAGGTGTTTTCAGAGGTGCAGTAGGGGTCAGTTTCTACACACCGTGTCTTGTTATGAGCAGAAATCCTCACTTTAGTCTCTCTAGACGGGGCAGGAACTTGTTGTCACAGAGAGAGGGATGTGTCAATAATGCAGACTCTGAAAACACATGGCTACTGGGGAGATAGTGTGCAGCTGTGCAAACTGCTACCTCCAGCACTGCCTCCCACTCTCCTCACACACACACACACACACACACACACCTCCTTCCCCTCTCACCATTTGATCTTCGGCTACATCCAGAGGTTGCACGGAACTACCACCGTTAAGGGCATAGGAGTGTTTGTCTACTAGCGGCTACAGCTGCAACAGACTTGTGTCGCTGTAGCCTTAAAACAGCTGGATAAAGATCAAGGTTCTCTGTTTTTCAGATGCCATCAGAACACGCCCACCATCTGTTCAATGGAGGCATTGTAAGTCCTCTCAGACAACTGAGGCTGAGCATGAGGGACAGGAGCGGGACGATCATTTGACAAGATGAGCTGTCTCTCTTCTTAAAATAGTGCTTAAATCCTTAAATTGACACTGAAACCCTTCTGATCTAACATTTATCATCTTGACTAATGCACCAGTAAGAGAGCAGTTAAGCTTTGACTTAATTAGTTGGTGATTAGACCGTAGCCCAGGTAAGACAGTTGTATTTTGCGACCTTTTTGTCATTATCTAAATGTTGTCTACAGAATATTTCCTTAGAAAACAAAAGTGAGGGGAATCATTGTAGGTGGAAGCACAAAGGCTGTTGTTGTGATTTCATTGTAGAACCTGTAGGAGTTCCCGATCTCCAGACTGGAAACCACTAAGCTTTCTTGGGTTTGTCAATTCAACAGCTTCCCACTTGTATTATGGGTG